TTGGGGGTCTCCAAAGAGGTTCTTGGGGAGGGGGGTGTGTCTTTCTTGGGGTGGGGGGATTTTGGGGGGTCCCCAAAGGGTTTTAGGGGGTCCCAGGGGGTCCTGAAGGGGTTTTGGGGGGTCCTGGGGGGTCTCCAAGGGGTCTTGAGGGGTCTTTGAGGGGTTCTGGGGGGTCTTTGGGGGTCCTCAAAGGTTTTGGGGGTCCTGGGGGTTCTCCAAGAGGTCCTGGGGGGGTCTTTAAGGGTTCCCAAAGGGTTTTGGGGTCCTGGAGGGGTCTCTGTGGGGATTCTGGGGGGTCTTTTTGGGGATTCTGGGGGGTCTTTTTGGGGTCCTACAAGGTCCTGGGGGGTCTTTTGGGGGTCCAGGGGGTCTTTTGGGGGTCCTGGGGGTCTTTTTGGGGTCCTGGAAGGTCTTGGGGGTCAATTTGGGGTTTGGGGGCCCCTCCCCCACCAAAAATGAGGTCTCAAACCCCTCCCCCACCCCTAAATCAACATCAAGCCCCTCCCCACCCCAAAATGGGGTTTCAGACCCCTCCCCACCCCCAAATCAACATCAAGCCCCTTCCCCACCCCAAAAATGAGATCTAAACCCCTCCCCACCCCCTAAATCCACTCCAAGCCCCTCCCCACCCCAAATCAACATCAAGCCCCTCCCCCACCCCCCAAAAAAGGCCCCACCCATTTTTTCCCATCAACTGGGAATTTTTAATTGGAATCCCTGAAGTGGGGGAAGGGGCCACAGAGTGGGGGAGGGGTCACAGGATGGGGAGAGGGTCACAGAGTGGGGGAGGGACCACGAGGTGGGGGGAGGGCCCAATTTGCCCTCATTTTGGGGGTCTCAATGAGGGTGGGGGAGTGGCTCAATTTCCCTCATTTTTGGGGGTAAAAGGGGGTGGGTGGGGAGGGGCTGCCTGAGGGGGTGGGGGAGGGGTCAAGAGGTGGGGGAGGGGATCAATGATGGGGAGGGTCACAGCGTGGGGGAGGGGCCCAATTTTCCATCATTTTTGGGGGTCTCACTGAGGGTGGGGAGGGGTCACAGAGTGGGGGAGGGGTCAATGATGGGGGAGGGTCACAGGGTGGGGGAGGGGCCACGAGGTGGGGAGGGCCAATTTGCCCTCATTTTGGGGTCTCACTGAGGGTGGGGGAGGGGTAAAGAGTGGGGAGGGGCTCAATTTCCCTTCATTTTTGGGGGTAAAAGGGGGGTGGGTGGGGAGGGGCTGCCTGAGGGGGTGGTGCCGACCCGGGGAGGGAGGTGGGGAGGGGTCACAGAGTGGGGAGGGGCCAGAAATGGGGGAGGAACCACGAGGTGGGGAGGGCCCTAAACTCCCCCTTCATTTTCACCTCCCCTCCCCCATCCTTTTGGGGGCTAAAAGGGGTTGGGTGGGGAGGGGCCGCCCGAGGGGGTGGTCCCGACCCGGGGTAGGAGTGGGGAGGGGTCACGTGGTGGGGAGGGGCCCAATTTGCCCTCATTTTGGGAGGTCTCAATGAAGGTGGGGGAGGGGCTCAATTTCCCCTCATTTTTGGGGGTAAAACGGGGTTGGGTGGGGAGGGGCTGCCCGAGGGGGTGGGGAGGGGTCAATGATTGGGGAGGGGCCACAGAGTGGGGGAGGGGCCACAGGGTGGGGGGAGGGACCACAGGGTGGGGGGAGGGGCCACAGAGTGGGGGGAGGGGCCAGAAATGGGGGAGGGGCCACAGAGTGGGGGAGGGGTCACAGAGTGGGGGAGGGGTCACAGGGTGGGGGAGGGGCCACGAGGTGGGGGAGAGGGCCCAATTTCCCCTCATTATTGGGGGTCTCAATGAAGGTGGGGAGGGCTCAATTTCCCTTCATTTTTGGGGGTTCTCACTGAGGGTGGGGGAGGGGCTGCCCGAGGGGGTGGTGCCGACCCGGGGGGTGGGGAGGGGCAGGCTGGGCCTCCAGGTAGGCCCTGAGCAGGGAGGGGTAATCGGTGACGACCCCGCTGGCCCCGGCCCCGAAAGCCTCGGCAAAGTCGCCCTCCTCGTTCAGCACCCACAGGCAGGTCTGGAAAAGGGTGGGGGAGGGGTCACAAAGGTGGGGGAGGGGTCAAGAGGTCGATGGGAAAAAAGGGAGGGGTCCTGAAAAAAAATTCCCCCAAAATCCCTCAAAAATGTGAATTTTGGCCCCTCCCCACCCCTAAAAGGGTCATTCCTGCCCCTCCCCACCCTCTAAAGAGGCACTCCCGGGGTGGGGAGGGGTCAAAAAGGTGGGGGAGGGGGTCAAGAGAGTCGATTGGATAAAAGGGAGGGTCCTGAAAAACTCCCCAAAAATCCCCAAAAATCCCTAAAAAGGGGATTTTGGGACCTTTAAAAGGGATTTTGGCCCCTCCCCACCCTTAAAGGCATTTCTGGGGTGGGGAGGGTCAAAAGATGGGGAGGGGTCAGGATTGATTGGATAAAAGGGAGGGGTCCTGAAAAAAACTCCCCAAAAATCCTCAAAAATGTGAATTCTGGGGTCTTAAAAAGGGAATTTCTGCCCCTCCCCACCCCAAAAGGGGTTCAAGCCCCTCCCCACCCTGTAAATTGATCTCAAGCCCTCCCCACCCTGTAAATTGATCCCAAGCCCCTCTCCCACCCTGTAAATCGATCTCAAGCCCCTCCCCACCCTGTAAATTTATCTCAAGCCCCTCCCCACCCTGTAAATTGATCTCAAGCCCCTCCCCACCCTGTAAATTGATCCCAAACCCCTCCCCCACTCCATAAAAGGCACTTCCTGCCCCTCCCCACCCTGTAAATTGATCTCAAGCCCCTCCCCACCCTGTAAATGGATCCCAAGCCCCTCCCCACCCTGTAAATTGATCCCAAGCCCCTCCCCACCCTGTAAATGGATCCCAAGCCCCTCCCCACCCTGTGAATGGAACCCAAGCCCCTCCCCCACTCCATAAAAGGGTCATTTCTGCCTCCCCACCCTGTAAATGAGACTCAAGCCCTCCCCACCCTGTAAATGGATCCCAAGCCCCTCCCCCACCCTGTAAATGGATCCCAAGCCCCTCCCCACCCTGTAAATTGATCCCAAGCCCCTCCCCACCCCAGGACCCTCAGTGGGGTGGGGAGGGGTCTTTAGCCCTCCTCCCCTCTGACCTGGATCCCTCGTTCCCGGAGGTGCCTCAGGAGGGGTCGGCGAAGGGCGATCCTGGGGGGGGGAGGGGCGGGGTCAGAGACCCCCAAAATGACCCCAAAATGACCCCAAAAATGACCTCAAAAATGACCCCAAAATGAGCCCAAATTACCCCAAAAATGACCCCAGAATGACCCCAAAATGACCTCAAAATGATCCCAAAATTGACCCCAAAATGACCCCAAAAATGACCCCAAAAATGACCCAAAAATGATCCCAAATTTACCCCAAAATTACCCCAAATGACCCCAAAATGACCCCAAAGTGACCCCAAAAATGACCCCAAAATGACCCCAAAAGTGACCCCAAAAATGACCCCAAAATGACCCCAAAATGTCCCCAAAATTACCTCAAAAATGACCCCAAAAATGACCCCAAAATGACCCCAAAATGTCCCCAAAAATGACCCCAAAGTGTCCCCAAAAATGTCCCCAAAATGTCCAAAATGTCCCCAAAATGACCCCAAAATGGCCCCAAAATGGCCCCAAAATATCCCCAAAAATGACCCCAAAAGTGACCCCAAAAATGACCCCAAAATGGCCCCAAAATGACCCCAAAATGATCCCAAAAATGATCCCAAAAATGATCCCAAAATGTACCCCAAAATTGACCCCAAAATGACCCCAAAATTACCCAAAATGACCCCAAAAATGATCCCAAAATTACCCCAAAATGACTACAAATGACCCCAAAATGATCCCAAAATGACCCCAAAAATGACCCCAAAATGACCTCAAATTACCCCCAAAATGACCCCAAAATGACCCCAAAATGACCCCAAAATGACCCCAAAATGACCCCAAAATGACCCCAAAATGACCCCAAAATGACCCCAAAATGATCCCAAAATTACCCAAAATTACCCCAAAAATGACCCCAAAAATGACCCCAAAATGACCCCAAAATGACCCCAAAGTGACCCCAAAAATGACCCCAAAATGACCCCAAAATGACCCCAAAATGACCCCAAAAATGACCCCAAAATGTCCCCAAAAATGACCCCAAAATGACCCCAAAATGTCCCCAAAATTACCTCCAAAATGACCCCAAAATGACCCCAAAATGACCCCAAAATGACCCCAAAATGACCCCAAAATGACCCCAAAAATGACCCCAAAATGACCCCAAAATGACCCCAAAATTACCCCAAAATTGACCCCAAAATGACCCCAAAATGACCCCAAAAATGACCCCAAAATGACCCCAAAATGACCCCAAAAATGACCCCAAAAATGAGATTAAAGAGTCCAAAAATGACCCCAAAAACGACCCCAAAATGACCCCAAAATGACCTCAAAAACGACCCCAAAATGAGCCCAAAATGACCCCAAAGTGATCCCAAAAATGACCCCAAAATTACCACAAAATTAACCCCAAAATGACCTCAAATGTGACCCCAAAATGACCCCAAAAATGACCCCAAAATGACCCCAAAATGTACCCCAAAAATGACCCCAAAAATGATCCCAAAATGACCCCAAAAATGCCCCCAAATCCCCTCCCCACCCCCAAATCCCCCTCAAATCCCCAAATCCCTCCCAACCATCCCCTCTAAATCCCCTCCCCACCCCCCAAATCCCCCTCAAATCCCCCAAATCCCCAAATCCTCCCACCCCCAAATCCCTCCCCACCCCCAAATCCCCTCAAATCCCCAAACTCCCAAATCCCCCCCCCACCCCCAAATCCTCCCCATCCCCCAAATCCCTCCCCCCCCAAATCCCCCAACCCAATCCCCCCCCCCAAATCCCTCCCCACCCCAAATCCCCAATCCCCCAAATCCCTCCCCCACCCCAAACCCTCAAATCCCCAAATCCCTCCCCCACCCCCAAATCCTCAAATCCCCCAAATCCCCAAATCCCTCCCCCAAATCCCCTCCCCCACTCCCCAAATCCCTCTCTCCACTCCCCAAATCCCCCCTCCCCACCCCCAAATCGCCCTCAAATCCCCCAAATCCCCTCAAATCCCCCAAATCCCCCCAAATCCTCCCCACCCCCAAATCCCCTCAAATTCCCCCAAATCCCCTCAAATCTCCCCAAATTCCCCCAAATCCCTCCCCCACCCCTGCCCTCCCCCACTCACGCCTGCACGGCTTTGCTGAGCAGGTGCCCGCCCACCCGCGGGGGATGGGGAAGTGGGTCCTGGGGGAGGGCAGAGTCAGGACCACTCCCTCCCCACTTCTTGGCTTCTTTTAGCCCCTCCCCACTTTTTGGCCCCTCCCCACCAATTTTAGCCCTCCCCATCAATTTTAGCCCCTCCCCATCAATTTTAGCCCCTCCCCATCAATTTTAGCCCCTCCCCATCAATTTTAGCCCCTCCCCCACTCATTTTAGCCCCTCTCCCATCAATTTTAGCCCTCCCCACCCCTTTTAGCCCCTCCCCCATCAATTTAGCCCCTCCCCCTTTGAGCCCCTCCTCACTTTTAGCCCCTCCACCACTCTTTTAACCCTCCCCTCCCCTTTTAGCCCCTCCCCATCAATTTTAGCTCCTCCCTCACTTTTGGCCCCTCCCCCATTTCAGCCCCTCCCCATCAATCTTAGCCCTCCCCTCCATTTTAGCCCCTCCCCACACTTTTAGCCCCTCCCCACCCCTTTTAGCCCCTCCCCACCCTTTTAACCCCTCCCCACCCTTTCCACCTAAAATTTTGAGATTTTTTTAGGATTTTTAGATTTTTCCCAGCCCCTCCCCACCCTTAACTCCCCTTTAGCCCTCCCCACCTTTTAGCCCTCCCCACCCCTTTTAGCCCCTCCCCACCCCTTTCAACCCCTCCCCACCCTTTTAACCCCTCCCCCTTTTAACCCCTCCCCACCCCTTTTAACCCCTCCCCACCCTTTAACCCCTCCCCACCTTTCCACCTAAAATTTGAGGTTTTTAACTTCCAAATTTTTCTCCCAGACCCTCCCCACTCCTTTAACCCCTCCCCACCTCCTTTGAACCCCTCCCCACCCCTTTCAGCCCTCCCCACCCTTTTAGCCCTCCCCACCCCTTCTAACCCTCCCCACCCCTTTAGCCCTTCCCCCACCCCTTTCACCTAAAAACCCCAATTTTTGGTTTTACCCCCAATTTTTTCTCCCAGCCCCTCCCCACCCCTTCAACCCCTCCCCACCCTTTCAGCCCCTCCCCACCCCTTTAACCCTCCTCCCCCTTTAGCCCCTCCCCACTTTTAGCCCCTCCCCATCAATTTAGCCCCTCACCTCTTTAACCCTTCAAACTCCCCTTTCGAGGTGGGGAGGGGTTTACTCTTTTTTCTCAGCCCTTCCCCACCCCTTTCAGCCCCTCCCCACTCCATTTCTAACCCCTCCCCACCCCCTTTAGCCCCTCCCCACCCCCTTTCACCTTCAAAAACCCCGGATTTTCGAGGTGGGGAGGGTTTTACCCCAAATTTTTTCTCCAGCCCCTCCCCACCCCTTTTGACCCCTCCCCACCCTTTTAGCCCCTCCCATACCTCTTTAACCCCTCCCCACCCCTTTGAACCCCTCCCCACCCTTTCAGCCTCTTCCCACCCCTTTAACCTTCAAACTCCCCTTTCCACCCAAATGTTGGGAGGGTTTTACCCCAATTTTCTCTCAGCCCTCCCCACCCCTTTCAGCCCCTCCCCACCTTTTCTAGCCTCTCCCCACCCCTTTTAGCCCCTCCCCACCCCCTTTCAACTCTACAAACCCCCTTTCACCCAAATTGGGAGGGTTTGACCCCAATCTTTCCTCCCAGCCCCTCCCCACCCTTCTAACCCCTCCCCCACCCTTTCAACCCCTCCCCACCCTTTTAACCCCTCCCCACCCCTTTTAACCCTTCCAAACTCCCCCTTTCCACCCAAATTTCTGGGTTTTGACCCTAATTTTTCTCCCAGCCCTCCCCACCCTTCCCCTCATCGGGGGTGTGCTCAGGGGTGGGGAGGGTCAGGGGTGGGGAGGGGTGACCTGTTGATGATGGAGGGCAGGAGGAAGAGCAGGATGGACTCTCCCAGGGGCACCCAGGGCAGCAGGTCCCAGGTAGTAGAGGAGGAGCAGGAGGAGCCCCTGGCGCAGGGAGAACCCGTAGGGCATGCCTGGGTGCTGATGGGGGAGGGCGGGTCACCTGGGGGTGGGGGGGGAGGAGGGCCTGAGTAAAATTTGGAGGTCAGGCCCTCTCCCCACCCCAAAATCCCGAAATTTCTGTGTTAAAAGGGGCATTTTGGGGAGTTTCTGGAGTGGGGAGGGGCAGGAAGGGGTGGGGAAGGGCTGGACCCGCTTTGGGGTAGGTTCTCCCCACCCCAAAATCCCACCCAAATCCTGAGTTTCTACATTAAAGGGTGATTTTGGGGTAGTTTTCCAGGTGGGGGGGCTAGGAGGTCAGTCAGGGTGGGGAGAGGTGGGGAGAGGCCTGAGTAAAATTTAGGGGTCAGGCCCTCCCCACCCCAAAAATCCCATTAAAATCCTGAATTTCTACATTAAAATGGGTGATTTTTGGAGGAGAAATGGGTGGGGAGGGCTGGAAGGTGGGGAGGGGCTAGACCTAAAATTGACTCAGGCCCCTCCCCACCCCAAAAACATCAAAATTTCTATGTTAAAGGGAATTTTGGAGGGAAAATGGGTGGGGAGGGCCTAGAAAGAGTGGGAGAAGCTTGAGTCAATTTGGGATCAGGCCCTCCCCACCCCAAAAATCCCCAGATTTCTACCTTAAAGGGGGAATTTGGAGAGCAAACTAGGTGGGGAGGGGCAGGAGGGGGTGGGGAGGGGCTGGACCCACTTTGGGGGTCAGGCCCTCCCCACCCCAAAATCCCATTCAAATCCTGAATTTCTATGCTAAAAGGGTGATTTTGGGGAGTTTTCCAGGGTGGGGAGGGGTAGAAGAGGTGGGGAGGGCTTGAGTCAATTTAGGGGTCAGGCCCTCCCCACCCCAAAAATCCCAAAGATTTCTACCTTAAAAGGGAGGATTTGGGGAGCAAAATGGGTGGGGAGGGGCAGGAAGGGTATGGGGGGGGGAGGGGGTGGGGAGGGGCTGACCCACTTAATTGGTCAGGCCTCCCCACCCCAAAAACCCGAAATTTCTATGTTAAAAGGGTGATTTTGGGGGAGTTTTCCAGGTGGGGGGAGGGCAGGAGGGGGTGGGGAGGGGCCTGAGTCTAACTTTAGGAGTCAGGCCCTCCCCACCCCAAAAATCCCCAAGATTTCTATGTTAAAAGGGAGGATTTTGGGAGCAAAAATGGGTGGGGAGGGGCAGGAGGTCAGTCGGGGATGGGGAGGGGCAGGAAGGGTGGGGAGGGGCTGGAGTCAATTTGGGGTCAGGCCCTCCCCACCCCAAAAATCCCACTCAAATTCTGAGTTTTCTGCCTTAAAAGGGAGGATTTTAAGGGGAAAATGGGTGGGGAGGGGCAGGAAGGGGTGGGGGAGGGGCTGTGGAGGCTGAGTCAGTTTGGGTCAGGCCCTCCCCACCCCAAAAATCCCATTAAAATCCTGAATTTCTATGCTTAAAAGGGGGATTTTGGGGAGTTTCTGGGTGGGGAGGGGCAGGAGGGGGTGGGGAGGGGTGGGGAGGGGCCTGAGTAAATTTAGGTGATCAGGCCCCTCCCCACCCCAAAAATCCCTGAGATTTCTATGTTAAAGGGAGGATTTGGGGAGCAAAATGGGTGGGGAGGGGCATGAGGGGTGGGGGAGGGGCAGGAAGGGGTGGGGAGGGGCCTGAGAAAATTTGGGGTCAGGCCCTCCCCCACCCAAAAATCCCATTAAAATCCTGACTTTTCTACCTTAAAAGGGCGGATTTTGGGGCAATTTGAGGGTGGGGAGGGGCAGGAAAGGGTGGGGAGGGGCAGGAAGGGGTGGGGAGGGGCCTGACTCCAAATTTGGAGTCAGGCCCCTCCCCACCCCAAAAATCCCACTCAAATTCGAGTTTTCTGCCTTAAAAGGGAGGATTTTAGAGGGGAAAATGGGTGGGGAGGGGCAGGAAGGGGTGGGGAGGGGCAGAGGTCAGTCGGGGATGGGGAGGTTGGGGAGGGGCTTGAGGCAGTTTGAGGTCAGGCCCCTCCCCACCCCAAAATCCCATTAAAATCCTGAATATTTTGTCTTTAAAGGGTGAATTTGGAAGTAAAATGGGTGGGGAGAGGGCAGGAAGGGGTGGGGAGGGGCTGAGTAAAATTTAGAGGGTCAGGCCCCTCCCCACCCAAAATCCCACCCAAATTCGAGTTTTCTGCCTTAAAAGGGAGGATTTTAAGGGGAAAATGGGTGGGGGAGGGGCTGGAAGGGGGTGGGGAGGGGCAGGAAGGGGTGGGGAGGGGGCTTGAGTAAAATTTAGAGGGTCAGGTCCCTCCCCACCCTAAAAATCCCACCCAAATCCCAAATTTTTGACATTAAAAGAGAGATTTTCTATATTAAAGTGTGAGTTTTGGAGAGGAAAATGGGTGGGGAGGGGCAGGAATGGGTGGGCGAGGAGTGGGGGAGGGGCTTGAGTCAATTGTAGGGTCGGGTCCCTCCCCACCCCAAAATCCCACCCAAATCCCAAGTTTTTACATTAAAAGGGTGATTTTTGGGGAGTTTTCCAGGTGGGGGAGGGGCAGGAGGGGGTGGGGAGGGCTGGACCCACTTTTGGGGAGTCAGGCTCCTCCACCACTCCAAAAATCCCCCAAATCCCAAATTTTTGACATTAGAAGGTGAAGATTTTGGAGGGGAAAATGGGTGGGGAGGGGCAGGAGGTCAGTTGGGGGTGGGGAGGGGCCCAAACCGAGTGGTGGGCGTGGCCTAGGAGGGGATGGGCGTGTCCTACGTCACGGTGGGCGTGGCCAACCCCCCCTTTAAAGCCTCCAACCCCTCCCCCACCCTCCCAAAAACGGTGAATTTTTAAGGGGATTTTCCCTGTAAATTGAAGGGGGAGGGGCCAAAACGGATTGGTGGGCGTGGCCAAAAATTGTGGGCGTGGCCAATTGAGTGGTGGGCGTGTCCTACGTCACGGTGGGCGTGGCCAACCCCCTTGTAAGGCGCTCCAAACCCTCCCCACCACTCCTAAATGGTGAATTTTAAGGTGAATTTTTAAAGGATTTTCCCTGTAAATTGAAGGGGGAGGGGCCCAAACCGAGGGGTGGGCGTGGCCCACGGGGGGGTGGGCGTGGTCTACGTCACGGTGGGCGTGGCCAACCCCCCTTTAAAGCCTCCAACCCCTCCCCCACCCTCCCAAAAAGTGGCGATTTTTGAAGGATTTTCCCTGTAAATTGAAGGGGGAGGGGCCAAAACCGCTTGGTGGGCGTGGCCAAAAATTATGGGCGTGGTCAATTGATGATGGGCGTGGTCAGTGGCATTGTGGGCGTGGTCAATTGCATGGTGGGCGTGGCCAAACCCCCCCATTTAACCCCATTTAAAGGTGAATTTTTAAGGGGTTTTTCCCCTGTAAATTGAAGGGGGAGGGGCCCAAACCGAGGGGTGGGCGTGGCCAAGAGAGGGTGGGCGTGGTCATACGTGACGGTGGGCGTGGCCAACCGCCTTGTGAGCGTGGCCAAACCCCTCCCACCCTCCCAAAAGCCGTGAATTTTAAGGTGAATTTTTAAGGGTT